CCCCCCCCCCCCGGCTACATGCCTGACTCCCCCCAATCTGCTCCAGAGATGAAGCAGGGAAGTGCAAGGAATTTTGGGGTGGTAAACAGGAAATCTCTGCCATAGGATGAATATTATGAAGCACAACCCAAATTCAGAATCTTGGCTAGAGGTGCCATGGAAAAACAATTAAAAATAATTCTCTATGTATTAGACTTTTTTTGTGGGGAATGGGTTTCCTTTTTTCTGGTTTATCTTAGGAAAACCTCATACAGAAACACAACTCTTGCCTTTTACAGTTTGCAAGCGTGAGAAAATGCCTCTCTGAAGCTGTAGGGTACACCAAAAACAAAACCACAGTTCAAAATTTTATTGCTAACCACTTGGCGTTCTGAGGGCTTTGTCTACACATGAAGATAATATAACACTTTAATGTCAGATGTCATCATGCAAGAGGGAGGATGCCAAGGATGGTCACAGGTGAGCCAAACGTTGCTCTCGGAAGAGAACTACTGAGACACAAATACCAGGCTAGGAAGATTTGCACAGATCTCCTCATCCATTAAAAAAATCTATCCCCTTTCCCTCCCTCTCTTACGTTGGGGGGGGGGTCTATCTGTCTGTCTGTCTGTCTGTCTATCTATCTATCTATCTATCTATCTATCTATCTATCTATCTATCTATCTATCTATCCCATCTTTCTATCACCTATCAGATCTGTAAGAGAAGGAGGGAGGAAAAGGGTTATAAACACACACATACATATTATAATTATTGATAGTTCTTGATTAACAGAAGAGATTACATATTTATGTGTATCACTATATCTGTATGTGTATATTCCTATGTGTGTATGTTCATCCCTGTCAATCAAGGATTACTGCCATTAATGACTATATATGTGTGTAACTATTTTCCTTCCCCTTTTTCTTACAGATTATATATACATATGCAAACACACATATATACTCTAAGATCTCTCTCTACCTATCAGTCATATCCCCTGTCGATCCAGGACTATTGCCAATAATATATATATGTGTGTATGCCTTTTTCCCTCCTCCTCTTACATATTATATACACATATACACATACACCTATATACTGAGATCTATTTATCTACAATATCCTTTATTAATCAAGGTCTACTTCCAATCATTAATATGTGTGTATATCAATTTTCGTTCCTCCTCTTAGAGATTATACATACATACATATATATACACACACATGTATATATGTAATCTCCCCTGTCAATCAAGGACTTCTGTTAATAATTAATATGTGCGTGTATAGTCCTTTTCCTCCCTCCCTCTCTTACATACACACGACACACACATACGTTAACACATACACACATATTAAATGCATACATGCATGCATGCATGTATGTGTGTGTGTAATCTCCTATGTCACTCAAGGACTACTTCAATCAATATATGTGTGTGTATCCCTTTTTGTCCTTCTTCTTACATATTATATATACATATACATAAATACACATATGTATGTATGTAATCAAATACTGTCAATAATTAATGTGTGTATAGCCTTTCTCCCTTCATCTCTTACACACACACACACACACACACACATTTTATACATACAGACATGTATATATGTGTGTGTGTGTGTAATCTCCCATGTCAATCAAGGACTACTTCCAATAATTCATATATATGTGTGTGTATCCCCATCAATCAAATATTGTCAATAATTAATATGTGTGTATAGCCTTTCTCCTCCCTTCATCTCCCACAGATTATATATATATACACACAAACATATATACAATATACATATACATACTGATTTTATACACACACACATATTATATATGTAATCTCCCCTGTCAATCAAGGCTTCCTGCCAATCAATATGTGTAGGTAATCTCCTATGTCAATCAAAGACTTATCTCAATTAATGTGTGTGTGTCTTTTTCCTCCTTCTCTTACAGATTATATACATATGCACACATATACACTGATTATATATATACACACACGCACATGCACACATATTATATATGTAAGCTTCCATGTCAATCAAGGCTTCCTGCCAATCAATATGTGCACCTAATCTATGTCAATCAGACTATTGTCAATATATATATGTGTGTGTGTATGTGTGTGTCCTTTTCCTCCCTCCTTTTCCTACAGATTATATTCCTATGCACACATATACACTGATTATACACAAACACACATTATATATGTAATCTCCCCTGTCAATCAAGGCTTCCTGCCAATCAATATGTGTACCTAATCTATGTCAATCAGACTACTGTCAATTAATATGTGTGTGTGTGTGTGTGTCCTTTGCCTCCCTCTTTCTCTTACAGATCACATACATATATACATATGCACACATATACACCGATTACACATACATATTATCTATATATATATAAATCTCCCCTGTCAATCAAGGCTTCCTGCCAATCAAAGGGAGCCTTCCCGGAGCCAGTCAATAGCAAGGCGCCTGCAGTCCAGCCCCGGCTCTGCCTCTGCCTCTGCCTCTCTCTCTCTCTCTCTCTCTCTCAGAAGCCCAGGAGTTGGTGTCCGTAGAGCCAGGCAAGCCTTTCCCTTCCCTTTTGCAAAACTGTCAGGGAAGAAGCAGAGGGGGGAAAAATGGGGGGAAAGATATTGGCTGACTGCAACTCGGAGGCTCCTCCCCGAGCCTGGATCCCGAGATTTTTTGGGTGATTCGCTCTCTTTTTCAACTCAGAGAGGAACGAAGGAAACAAGTGGCACCCCAAGCCAGGAGAAAGAGAGAGAGAGGGAGGGGGGAGGCTTCATCCCTTTCCTCAGAATATCAAACCCAAATCCTACCCCCCTCTCTCTCTACCTTGGAGTTGTGGGGAAGAGAGAGAGAGAGGAGGAGGAAAGGAAATACCCCTTGGATTTCTGCAGAAGCCGAAGAGTGGGAGACAATGAGGAGGAAGGGGATCGGGAGGCTTCTCCGCTGACCCTCCGGCTTGTGGGTTTTCTTTTTTTCCTGCCGGATTTTGGATCCAGAAGCTGAATATTTGGGGAGCAGCAGGAGCGAGGCCCCTTGCGCCCCTTCCCCACCCCTTTGGTGGCAGCCCCGCCGGTGGAGGTGTTCCAGCCCAGGATACCAATTGGCAAGGAAGGAAAAGGGAAGGAAGCAAGGAAGGAAAGCATGAATTCGGTGGCTGGCAACAAGGAGAGGATGGCCGTCGCCTCCCGCAGCAGGAAATACGGGGTAAGTTGGGCTCAAGTCGGGCGCGGATGCTGCAGAGCCGGATACAAAAGGGATGCCGGCTTCTCCTCCTCCTCCTCCTCCTCGCCTTTCTTCCTTCTTTCCTGCTTTAACTTTGCCAGCCTCCGCCTGCTTTTCCTCTGCCCAGCAGGCAAAACGGGGCTCTTTCCCCAACCTTTGTGGGGTTTGACAACCTAAAGGTGGGTGTGGAGGGTTGGCATCCTCGCTTCTCGGAAGGGAAGCGCGCCCAAAGCCGCCTCTCCAAATGCCTCCAAGACCTCATCACACTAGAGAAAGAATCCACTTTAAATCCGGTTGCTGCCTCTTGCAGAATGCTGGGGTTTGTAGTCTAGAGAGGAGCCTTTAACAGCCTCACTAAAGTGCAAACCCCAGAATTCTGCAACCGGATTTAAAGTGGAGTCTTTCTCGAGTGTGATGAAGCCGAGATGAGCCTCCTCTCCAGGAATGAATGGATTTCGCAATTTTCTTAGGCTGGCTCTACCCTGCTTGGTAATGCAGCTCAAACAGTGTTATAATGTGTTGTGGAAGGCTTTCGTGGCCGGAATCACTGGGCTGCTGCGAGTTTGTCGGGCTGTCTGGCCATGTTCCAGAAGCATTCTCTCCTGACGTTTCGCTTGCATCTATGGCAGGCATCTTCAGAGGTTGTGAGATCTATTAGAAACTAAGTGGGGTTTCTATATCCGTCCAGGGTGGGAGAAAGCACTCTTGTCTGTTTGAGGCAAGTGTCAATGCTGTAATTGGCCACCTTGATTGGCATTGAATAGCTTTGCAGCTTCAAGGCTTGGCTGCTTCCTGCCTGGGGGATCCTTTGTTGGGAGGTGTTAGCCAGCCCTGATTGATTCTTGTCTGTTTGAGGCAAGTGTCAATGTTGCGATTGGTCACCATGATTAGCACTGAATAGCTTTGCAGCATCAAGGCTTGGCTGCTTCCTGCCTGGGGAGATCCTTTGTTGGGAGGTGTTAGCCACCCCTGATTGATTCTTGTCTGTTTGAGGCAAGTGTCAATGCTGCAATTGGCCACCTTGATTAGCATTGAATAGCTTTGCAGCTTCAAGGCTTGGCTGCCTCCTGCCTGAGGTGATCCTTTGTTGGGAGACGTTAGCTGACTCTGATTGATTCTTGTCTGGAATCCCCCTGCGTTTTGAGTCTTGCTCTTTGCTAACTGCAACATTCACACCTACCTCAAGCAGAGAAGAGTTATTTCTCCCATCCTGGACATTCCATATAAATCTCACTTGCCTAGTTTCCAACAGACCTCACAACCTCTGAGGATGCCTGCCATAGATGTGGGCGAAACATCAGGAGAGAACGCTTCTGGAACATGGCCACACAGCCCGGAAAACTCGCAGCAACCCAGTGTTCGAATGGCTTTGCACTGACCATATCATGCATTACTTGGCAGGGTAGATTCTGCCTTAGGCGAGGAAGCCTTAGAGATGCTTTCGCCAACTCCTTCCTCTGAAATAGAGCCTGGGATCTATTCAGGCTCCCACCCAAGGGCTGACCAGAGCCAATCCTGCACAACTTCCAGAATCAGATGGGGGTCTTTGGGGCAAGGAAATCTGGCAAGGAAGGGGCGAGGCATTGCAATTGTCCCCATGCTGGGGGCTATTGTATTGTTATATATGCTGCCATTCACTGTCGGTCTCCCACCCAGATACTTTCCAGGGCTGACCCTGCTTTGCCTCCAGAATCCAGACGGGTTCTTTAGGGCCTTTAAATTTGCCTTGGAGTCAGGCCCTAAAGGGGGCGGTATTGTAGTTCCCCTGTTGGAGGCCACTGCTACGCAGCTTAGTTGTTCACTGCCGGTCTCCCATCCAAGGGCTAGCCAGAGCGGGCCCTGCTTAGCTTGTGTTCTCGAAGGAATTTAATTGCAGTTTAGAAATTGGACAATGAAAGGGGATGTTGCAATGGTGCCCTTGTTGGGGGATACTGTTCTACACCAGGCATGGTCAAACTTTGGCCCTCCAGGTGTTTTGGACTTCAACTCACAATTGGGTGGGAGTTGAAGTCCAAAACACCCGGAGGGCCGAAGTTTGCCCGTGCCTGTTCTACACCCTGACATTGACGGTCTCCCATCCAGATGCCATCAAGGGCAAGCCCTACTTAGCTTTCACAATCAGACAGTATCTCTGGGCTGCTGATCTTTTCTTTAATTTTTGGCTTGGAAATCCCGCAATTCCACCTGCTGGAGGCCATATATAGTTTTCCTTGTCGGTCTCCCACCCAAGGGTGAGCCGGGGCCGACCCTGCTTAGCACTTAGGGCACTGAAACATGGTGGGACTTTAAAAATGTAATGGTATTTTTAACTTTCTATCCACACACTAATAGTTTTTTTTAATTTTTGTATTATTTCTATTAAATTGTGTGGTTGTTTGCCACATGGAGTGCACTTAGGAGAGAAAAGCAGGATAGAAATAATAATAATAATAATAATAATAATAATAATAGCCATGGAAAAATAATACAGTTGTTTGGTGTATGGTAGGCTTCAAAATAATAATAACAACAATACTAATGGTCTGGAAATAATAATATGATACATATCTTGTAAATAATAATAATAGGCATGGAAATAATAACAATAATAGGCTTTGACATAATAATACTAATAATAAATGACTTGGAAATAATAATATTATACATGTCTTGTAAATAATAATAATAATAATAATAGGCATGGAAATAATAATAACAGGCTTTGAAATAATAATACTAATAATAAATGACTTGGAAATAATATGATACATGGCTTGCAAATAATAATAATAATAAATGGCATGGAAATAATAAATGACTTGATGACAATGATGAGAATAATAACAATAACAAATGGCATGAAAAAATAATAATAGGTTTTGAAATAATAATAGGCTTGGAAATAATATAATACATGGCTTGATGATGATAATGATAATAATAATAAATGAAATGGTAATAATAATAGGCTTGCAAATAATAATATAATACATGACTTGTAAATAATAATAATAATAATAATATACATGGCTTGGAAATAATAACGATACAGTTGTGTGGTTGTTAACCGCATGGAGTCTGCTAGGGGGAGAAAGGCGGGATAATAATAATAGTAATAATAATAATAATATACATGGCTTGGCAATAACAATAATAATAATGGGTTGCTGTGACGTTTTCGGGGTGCATATGTTCCAGAAGCATTATCCCCTGACCTTTCGTCTACATCTATGGCAGGCATCTTCAGAGGTTGTGGGATCTGTATAGTCCTGCCTGGCTTGGGAATGGGGCGAGGGAAGGCGCGTTGCCGCGTTCTGCCGAGAGAGGGCGCCTGCTCCCTCCTGCAACTTGCCTCTGCCTCGGGGCCACTGACTGGGGCTCTTCCCTCCTTTCTCTCCCTCTCCCTCCCTTGACTCCCAGGTGGCGGACCCTTGCTCCCCTCCCGCGAAGCCCTCCTCGGCGCCGCCTTTCTCCCCGGAGACCTGGTTCCGCAAGGCCTACGAAGAGTCCCGCGTCTCCTCCGCTGGAGGAGGAAGCGGAGGGGGAGGCGCCCGCCCTGCGCCCGAAGGCTCCGGCTCGGGCTCCGGCTCGGCGCTGGGCTCCTCCTCGTCGGGCAGCCCATCTCCGGGTTCGGGCACTTCCTCGCCGGGCTCCTTCGCCGGCTCTCCGGGCCCGGCTTCCCCGGGCATCGGCACCTCCTCGCCGGGCTCCTTGGGGGGCTCGCCGGGCTTCGGGACGGGCTCGCCGGGCTCCGGCAGCGGCGGCGGCTCCTCTCCGGGCTCCGACCGGGGCGCCTCCTGGTGCGAGAACTGCAGCGCCCGCTTGGCGGAGCTCAAGAGGCAGGCGCTCGCCCTCCTCGTCCCCGCAGCAGCAGCAGCAGCAGGAGGAGGCAGCAAGGTGAGTGCAGCAGGAGGGGAGGGAGGAGCGCCCCCTGGTGGCCCCGCGGGAAAAACCACGCTGGCTCCCACCTGGGCGCCTCCAAGCGTTTCGGACTTCCGCTCCCAGGATTCCTCACCATTGGGCAAGCTGGCAAAGGCTTCTGGGAGTTGGAGTCCCAAAGCTTCAACACCACTGGACAGTGTGCCCTCACATATCGCGGGTGTTACGTTCCAGCACCAGCCGCGAAAAGTTAATATGCGTAAAGTAGGGATGCTCTGTATATTATTATATTATCTATATAAATAAAAAGGTAACGTTAGTTTGTGGGATTAACAGAACTCAAAAACCACTGGACAAATTGACACCAAATTTGAACACAACACACCTATCAGGCCAATGAGTGATCATCACTCATAAAAACAGTGAAAAACACAGCAGAAGAGACTTAAAAAGCCAAAAAAACAAAATTACATTACAATGCATGCACAGAACCCCAGGGTCACAGACAGCAAACAAACACCACAGGGGTGTTAACCTTTCCCTATACCATTCAAACCTATATAGATGGCTGGTGTTACACTTAAAAGATGTACCTGTTTCAACGTACATACAAATTCAACTTAAGAACAAACCTACAGAACCTATCTTGTTCGTAACTTTGGGACTGCTTGTATATACAATTAGGCATCATTTAACTGCCATGGCACAATGCTATTTGGCAGTGGTTCTCAACCTGTGGGTCCCCAGGTGTTTTGGCCTACAACTCCCAGAAATTCCAGCCAGTTTACCAACTGTTAGGATTTCTGGGAGTTGAAGGCCAAAACATCTGGGGACCCACAGGTTGAGAACCACTGCTATATGGCATCACTGGAGTTGTAGTTTTACAATGCCTTCTCTTCCCAAGAGTGAGGGTGCCTGTAGCGCCCAGGATTCCATATCAGGGAGACACAGCAGTTCAAGTAGGCTCAAGCTGCATTAGTTCTACAGTGTAGATGCCCCCTTTGTGCAGCTCACAGTTTGGTTCTTAGACTGCATCTAGACCAGGCATGGGCAAACTTGGGCCCTCCAGGTGTTTTAGACTCCTACTCCCACAATTCCTTACAGCCTCAGACCCTTTCCATTTCCCCCTCAGGACTGTTTACGGACAAAGGTTATGTCTTTGTGTGGTATGTGATGTTACTTTATGTGATGTGTTTAATAATGTTTAATGTTATATCAGGGGAAGGGTCAATGTTGAGGTTTTATACTGTTTTTTTTATCGATGGCATTGAATTGTTGCCAACTCTGTGAACTGCCCTGAGTCCCCTTCGGGGTTGAGAAGGGTGGTATCTAAATACCACAAATAAATATGACACTGTAGAACTTCCAGGATTCCATAATGACATTAAATTTTGATGTTAAATTGCATTTATTCTGTGGTGTAGATACATCCTTAGGCCCTCATCACACTAGAGAATGAATCCCCCTTAAAAGCTGTAGCTGCCTCCTGCAGAATTCTGGGGTTTGTAGTTTAGGGAGGAGCCTTTAATAGCCTCACTAAACTCCAAACCCCAGAATTCTGCATGAGGCAGAAACCGGATTTAAAGTGGATTCATTCTCTGGTGTGATGAATTACTTAGACAGTGGCCTCACTAAGGTTTGCACTTGTGATGCCATCACAGTTCACAATGATTATCTCTGAAGTCTTTCATAAGAAAATTACCATCCAATTATAAAAATATTTTTGTAGTTAAACCTCTGAAATATTTTTTTCATGTGACCAGCTTGCATATACTGTACTAATACAGGTTGAGCGTCCCTTATCCAGAATTTTGAAATATTTCATTACTGTCCACATGGGAGGTTGAGACACCTTTGCTTTCTGGTGGTTTGGTGTACATAAACTTTTATTTCATGCACAAAATTGTTAAATATAGCATGTATAAACTTACCCTCAGGCTATGGGTATGGGAAACAGGAATGAATTTCTTATTTAGACACGAGTCCCATCTCTCATTATGTACATACATGCAAATACAGGTATTACAAAATCTGAACTCCAATGCTCTTCTGGTCCCCCAAGCAATTTGGATCAGGGATACTCAACCTGTATACCTGTAAGAGTAAAACTCTATGCTAGTTTACTTTTTGAACCTTCTAATGCATTGATTCTCAACCTTCCTAATGCTGCGACCCTTTAATACAGTTCCTCATGTTGTGGTGACCCCCAAGCATAACATTGTTTTTGTTGCTACTTCATAACTATTAATTTTGCTACTGTTATGAATCATAATGTAAATATCTGATAGGAAGGGTGTATTTTCATTCACTTGACCACATTTGGCACAAATACCCAATCTGTCCAAATTTGAATACTGGTGGGGTTAGGGCGGATTGATTTTGTCAATTGGGAGTTGTGGTTGCTGGGATTTATAGTTAACCTACAATCAAAGGGCGCTTTCCCCCCTGCCTTGCACACTCTCCTTCACCACACTGCCATGTGCCAAGCACACCTGCTCTCCTCTTCCTGCTTGAAGTCTCAGAAACAGCCCTCCCCTTGGCTGAGAAGCCGGCCAATCACAGCAGGAGGAAGACTTTTGGTGGGAGGATTCGCCGTCTGTTTCCAAAAAGGAAGAGAAGGACAGGTGGAGAGATCTTCAGCCTTTCTGCCAAAGGGGTTCCTAAGACCATCAGAAATATGTGTTCTCTGATGGTCTTTGTTGACCTGCCTGAAGCCCCCTCGCAACCCACCCACGTTTTCATTGCTGCTGTTTTTATAGTCATCTAAGCTTGTCAAATGTTCTGATATTTCAACTATGAGAAACATTAAGGATTCTGGTCTGGGAGGGGATCTATGTGGTGGTACTGTGACACTAACCATAGTGACACCACTGCACTTTGGCCATTTCAGATTTATGGCTCTTAAAGTGGATGTGATGCTCCTGCAGCCATGCTTTCATGCTTGGATGTTGGTCATGGTCAAATTTGCCCTGCCTTTGAGTCCAAACCTAGAAAAAAAGCTAGCCATGGTGCTCAATCCTGCACCTTGGATGGGTCCTTTAAAATATAGGTTATGTGAAAACCAGCAGCCCAAACACTTTACAGGTGCTTCTCTGTTGCTACTACATTTGATTTAAATAGAATCAATAAAAATATGCATGCTTTGACAGCTTGCACTTTGGCATTTTAAATCCACTTAAATCAGTGCCTCCAGGAATCATATGGATTCCTGGCCAGAAGCTAACCAATATTTACATGGAAATAAGCACAATGTTGTTGTGGGAAGGGATCATTTATTTTTAAAGGACACACAGTGCAGGTAAAATGAGTATCTGCCCATGCCAATCACCCCCCCCCCCCACACACACACACACAACATCATGGTTTAGGAAAAGAAAGGAAAAGCCACCTACCTTCTTAAGCAGTGTCTGTCTGGAAGAAGATTGTTATACCTATGTTAACTAAAGGTGATGTTGAGCCGCGGTGGCGCAATGGGTTAAACCAGTGGTGCTCAGCCTGTGGGTCCCCAGGTGTTTTGGCCTACAACTCCCAGAAATCCCAGCCAGCTGTTAGGATTTCTGGGAGTTGAAGACCAAAACTTCTGGTGACCCACAGATTGAGAACCACTGGGTTAAACCATTTTACTGGCTGAACAGCTGACTTGAAGGCTGAGGTAGGCTGGATGGATATTACTCAAGCTTGGCCATGCTCACTGTGATATAACTCTGGTTTTTATGACCGAGGCTTACTCCCAGGTAAGTGGGTCTATAATGGCATGGTATTCACTCCATAGAGATCATTCGGGTGAAATTGATGTGTAGTTATGCAGAGTGGTAAATTGATGGAGAACTGGACTGAATAAGGATAAGGATAATGGAAAAGGAGGTTCATCTCTGCTCTAGCCTTCATGACTCAAGGCAAATTTATTTCTGTTGCTTAGCTTAGGCGATCCCTCGCTTTCCGAGGATGATTGTCTTCCAATATTCTTGTGGGTCCGTATGTGGCTGTGGAGCCCTATTCTTGCTCTGCATCTTCTTCCGCAGTGAGGGCATTGGTTTCCAGGTGGAAGGCGGTCTCGGCCGGGGTTGGCTTGACGCGCCTTCCTCTTGGCACGTTTCTCTTTTTTCACCCTCCACTCGTGCCTCCTCAAATTCTGCAGCACTGCTGGTCACAGCTGACCTCCAGCTGGAGCGCTCAAGGGCCAGGGCTTCCCAGTTCTCAGTGTCTATGCCAGAGTTTTTAAGGTTGGCTTTGAGCCCATCTTTAAATCTCTTTTCCTGTCCTCCAACATTCCGTTTTCCGTTCTTGAGTTCGGAGTAGAGCAGCTGCTTTGGGAGACGGTGGTCGGGCATCCGGATAACATGGCCGGTCCAGCGGAGTTGGTGGCGGAGGACCATCGCTTCAATGCTGGTGGTCTTTGCTTCTTCCAGCACGCTGACGTTTGTCCGCTTGTCTTCCCAAGAGATTTGCAGGATTTTCTGGAGGCAGCGCTGATGGAATCGTTCCAGGAGTTGCATGTGACGTCTGTAGACAGTCCACGTCTCACAGGCATAGAGCAGGGTTGGGAGGACAATAGCTTTATAAACAAGCACCTTGGTATCCCTTCGGATGTCCCGGTCCTCAAACACTCTCTGCTTCATTCGGAAAAATTCTGCGCTTGCAGAGCTCAGGCGGTGTTGTAGTGGAAATTTCAACATTTTCTAATGTTACACCATTAAGCTGTATCACTGGCATTGGAGAGGGGTTGGCTGGTGTCTGCTGGAAAAGCACCTTGGTTTTTTCAATGTTCAATGACAGCCGAGCTTCTCGTATGCTTCTGCAAAGGTGTTTAGAGTGGCTTGTAGATCTTCTTCTGAATGCGCACAGACGACATTGTCATCAGGATACTGGAGTTCTATAACAGATGTTGTTGTAACCTTGGTTTTGGCTTTCAGTCTGCTGAGGTTGAATAGCTTGCCATCTGTCCGATAGATGATTTCCACTCCGGTGGGAAGCTTCCTATCAACAAGGTGAAGTATCATAGCAATGAAGATGGAGAA